GTTTTTTTGCAAATGTGATTGACATGTTCCACAAACTTTAGTTGGCTATCAAGCATAACTCCCAGACTCTTAACCACAGAGGAACTTTTCAGGACATGATTGTTTACTTTTAATTCAACACGATTTCTACATTGAAAAAGCTTTGTAGCCCAGGGATTGGTTATGAGCAACACCCCGTCGCACAGTGGTCGATTTGTCAAACCTAGATGGACAAAAATAAAACAAAGTCATTTTCAGAAATAAAATTTAATTCTAAAACAAAAAGTTCCTATAAACAAATGGGCTAAATTGTCTGGTTTTCGAGATACTGCAAAAAAAAAAAAATTAATACGTTCGTATCTACTTGTTAGAATTATTTCCTATTTGAAAGTGTTGCGCTATAATATAGATTATTTTATAGAATATTAACTATATAATACCAATAAATATAATAATAATAATAAGAATAATGAAATAATAATACTATGTACCTATAAAATGATTAATACTAATGAAATAGTAATTATATACCAAGGGAGAGAAAACAATTTTTATAGCCGAGCTGAATTATACCCGAGACGCGTAGCGTCGAGGGTAATAATGAAAGCGAGGCTATAAAATGGTTCTCTCCCGTGGTTTATATATTATTTTTTTCACTACTAGCACATTTGTTTAACTTTTCTTTAATGACAATGTATAAAAGTCGGAACGAATTTAAGATATCCATGAAAATCAAATAGCCTGTGAAAACAAATGAATAAAAATGACATTAAACCAAAAATCTTAATAAAGAGCAAAATGTCGACTAGCGACGAAGATACTAGTGTGTGCACCCCGCCAGAAATCCGAAAAGAAGCAAGTAACGTGCAGTGTGATCAATTACTGCCACAAAAATCAAAAGAGTTCTACTTAAAAGTTTACGCACAATTCAAAGATTGGTGCAAAATTAAAAAAGTGGCCAAAGTGTCAGAAAATGTCCTTCTTGTTTATATGGAAGAAAAAGCTAAAAACAAAAAAGCTTCCAGTCTATGGGCCACATTTTCTATGTTAAAACAAACTCTTAAATTAAAAGAAAATGTGGATATTTCAAAATATTATAAAGTAATTGCTTTTCTCAAACGCAAAAATGATTCCTACACACCCAAAAAGGCGGCTGTTTTTGAGAAGCATCAAATCACAAAATTTATTTTAGAAGCACCTGATGAAATTTTTCTTTCGTCTAAGGTAATTCTGTTAATTGACAATGAGATTTTAAAAAACGCCAAATTACATTTGCTTCCAGGTTATTCTCATTATAGGAATTGCAGGAGCTTGTCGGACAGATGAGCTCTGCAACATGAAAATGACAGATGTAGATACACGAGAGGATATGATAGTCATAAATATCCCTCAAACAAAAACAAAATCTTCTCGAAAATTTGTCATTATGGAGCCCACCTGGATTGATGTGGTTAAAAAATACTTGACAAAAAGGCCGTCTCCTGATATGGCAAGGCTTTTCATTGGGTTTAGAGGTGGAAAACCGACTAGACAAAACATGGGACATAATACGATAAGCAAGACACCTTATAAAATAGCTCAATACCTACAACTGCCAAATGTCGACGAATTTACTGGCCATACATTGAGGCGAACATCAGCGACTATTTTGGCTGATATGGGTGGGGACATATTATCACTCAAACGCCATGGGGGCTGGAAAAGCTCAATGGTTGCTGAAGGGTATGTTGAGGAGTCTCTCACTGACAAAAGAAGAATTGCAAATATAATTCAGGGAACACCTCATCACATTAACCTACCTGCTCCTAGCTCTTCCAATATTTTATGTGAGAGGAGTGAAGAAGTGTGTAGTGAAATGCCATCTACTTCCACACATGCTGCTACAAACAGTGAAATAACTATACCGGTGGAGAACTTTACCTCCAATCGCAATACATCGGGAATCAATATGACGTGCCACAACTGCACAATTAACTATTATTTCAAATAATTATAGTTGAGGTGTTAATCTTTAGTTACTTTGTTGTTAATACTTATTATTCTCAATTTTTTAATAAACATTTGTCTTTCGAATAACACAATATTATTTCTACATTAACATTTTCATTATTTATTATAAAAATACTACTTCTTAACAGATTACACAAATTAGAGGTTAAAAATGTCGCGTGCTCGTAAGAATAACTGCAATAGATTTTTCATGATTGCTCTGGTGGCATTCTTGCTGGAGTGTGGTCCAGGCGGCAAATTTAAGATTTCGCAAGAAATTTCAGCTTCCCAGTTCTACATCATCTGTCATTAATAAACAATGTATAAAATGTGGCAGCTTAATGTCAAGTAAACACCTCAACTACGACATTCTAAGGTAACCATGGCAATACTGTCAATTATTTTCATTATCTACTAGTAGGAGAGAAAAATCCATTATTGGGTAAGGTGGAGAACAGTAATTTCTCAAGCATCAAACACGATATATAATGAAGTCTTCTGAGGCTAGTAGTGAAAAACAAATTTAAATGCATCAACGACTATTAACTAACAACTTATTGCTTATTTATTAATTACTGTTAAATACTGTTAAAAACACTAAACTGGATATCACATTAAAACAAATAACTTATTCATCAGAGTCTGAAGTAGAGAGTTCATAAGGCGAATCTTCTTCTGTGTCTGTATCCATAGTATCAAGTTCGATTTCGGTCGAGGCTTCAGGTATTGTCTGAAGCAACGATAATACGTCTGGTGATAAAGTGCTGCTTTTTTTCTGTTGATGGGTCCTTAGGCTGGTTATTAGAGGATCTGATGTAATTAAGAGCATATGCATTAAATCTTCCATTGTTTCTTGTCGCGAAAATTTTCTGCTGTGACGTTCTCTAAATCCTTTACAATCTTTATTTCTCGCTTCTTGGGCTTCTTCCGATAATTGCCCAATAGGCAAGATTGCTGACGAAATTATGTCACCTCCATGTATTAACAGTTTATGTACACTTGCTGGCATGTAGTACCAACCGTATTCTTTTACATACATTTCGGCAGTGGCAAATGTGTATTTATTAAACGCATCTAGATTTACTTTATGTATTGTCGAAATAGCCTCTAAAATTACACCAAAACGTTTAATAAGTTCTTGGTTAATACCTGTTATTCTAGACGATATTTCAGGATTTTTAAAAAATCGTCGAGCGGTATTACCGTCATTGGTGGTTCCACTACCAGGCTTTGGTACATCCACTAGTAATCCAGTTTCTTCCTTAAATTTATCTTGTATTAGTTTCTTCCGTAATTCTACTGCCTCCTTGTCATGCTTTTTTATCTGCCAGGTTTTTGTGTTAACACGATACGCAATGTGCAACAGACATTCAAAACATCTAATCCAGGCATGCAAATTGGAAATACCAAACGTCAAAGCCAATGGATTGACTGTTCTAGTTTGGTGACTTTTCAGGTTATTCATTTGTGTTGGAGTAGCTCCACATATATAACATTTCTGCGATGATTGTCCCATCACAGCATTGCAAACTTTGCCATTAACCATTGTCATCACAAGTTGGTGTGATACCATCACTCTATGGTTTTGATGTAGTAATTCTGTACAACTTAGTCCACTAATTTGCTGTTATATTTCAGCAACTTCTTTTTTTGTCATCTCAGCTGTTTCCTTTTTAAAAATTAATTTTATGGGACGGCAATAGCTTGTCGATGATGGTTTTGGATTTTGCCATAAGACCTTTCCATTGCAAGTCATTTGTAATGGTACCATGGAAATCACAAATAAGAATGAATCATCTGCCTGTGGTTGATTTGTAAATTTTTGCTTATAATGTCCCTGCCCAGAAGCACCATCACATCCCCACTTATATATCATTTTGATGTTTTTTTTTTCATCAGTGGTTAATTCATTAAGCAGACGTTCTTCTATCGACATTATCAAACGTTGAACCGTGTGATTCAACAACGCTTGCAGGTTTACTTCGGCGGAAATCTCGGAAATCTTTATGCTTTTTGGGTAGCAAGCTTTCTTTGCGTCCAAAAGTTGGTCATAACCTGGGTATACATTTGCGTTTTGTTTAATTGAAACTTTTCTAATCACGGTATATTGATGTTTCGTTAATTTAGTATCAACAAACAATGCCAAAGCTTCTTCAGAGCTTAATTTTTTTGGTAAGTCTTTTGCAGGTCTGTGAAACGCTTTCTTAAGTTTTGTGGCCCTTTGTGGAGAGGATTCCGTGATTTCTTTTACAATTCGTGCCGCATCTCTCCGACCACCTTTGCGTAAAGTCATCTCTGTAGCAAAATTAAGGCGTTCAGGTGTAATATTTAACAGAAGCTCGACTTTTCGCTTTTTTGTTTTTGAACTAGATTCAGGAAATAGCTTCTTAGGACGACCACGACTACCAGAACTAGTTCCTGGCAGGTTAGTTTTATTTGCTTCTGTTATTTCGGCTTTAAATATGAGTGCAACATCCAGCCATTTTGCATTTGCAAGAAGAAACCTACTCTCCATTCTATTACTACTTTTCCATTTATTTTCTGCGTGACGGCAAAAATACCTTACTCTTTCCGAAATAGTAGTTTTAATAGACTCACTGATGTCCGTAAGATTCAGATGCTTTACAATAAAGTTGTATACCTCCGTTTTCTTTTGCGCGGGAGTTGTAGCGCGGCGCCATATGTCGAATAACACACGTCTAGATACGGCGCCGGCGGCGGTGGCATTCTCTAAAAAAATTCATAACCCTCGAGCGGGCGCGCGTTCTGACATTCCAAGAGCGGGCGCGTCGTGTATTTTGTACACAATGAATAGATGTGTCGTTTAAATGTTAAATTAATGTTTTTTATTAAGTAGAAATGTTGACATTTCCTTTATCATTTTATTATTTCAATAATTAAACAACATATGACGCTTTAGATATAAAAATTTATTTACAAAATTTAACAAGAATGTAAGACAAAAATCAATCACTTTCGATTTATCTTTTCCTATAAAGTTGTCATTAGATGACATCAAACTAGTTCCAGGATCATTAGGAAAATCTTCTGTATTGCTACAGTCCGCGAGAAGTTCAATTTCAGATTCAGAGTCGTGACCACTGAACGCAACTACTTCTTCATCCGTTTCTGAAATATCTTGATTTTCTAATTCAGTTCGCTCCGTTTCTGAGTCTTCATCATGCAGAATTCTATACAGGTCATCATCTGTTAGGTAACGTCTTCTAGCCCTACAAAATTTATATAAGATCACAAAATTTATTGGCATTCAAAAACTTACATATTTTTAGTTCTTTTTCAATCGGTGTCTTATACAAAAATTAATAAAACGTCCCTTGAAAATCTGAAAACAATAAAAATATGATTTTATAACTAATTAATTTCATGCAACAGGTTACTAATTGAATGAATATAAACAAATGTTGGGCTAAAAATGACAAAATATTAAATACTTACATCAGAAAGCGCGGCGTGTACTCTATACACAACACGGGAGAGATTCTTGTTTTTGCTAACTGTTTAGTTCTCACACTCACAAACAAAAGTTTTACTTGACCACTCGAAAGACAAAACTCGACTAGAGGAATACCTGAATCTACCCGACCGGATGTTGTATTATGCTAATTTTAGAACCAATAATCTGGTCACCGTGTACAAAATACACGTGCGCGCCCGCTCGAGGGTTAATAAAGGGGCAAATTGGGGCAGTATGTTTTTTTTTTGTCTTATAAAGAATCAAACGCGGAATATGCCGACATTTATTCCGTCAGTGCCAACTGATGCCAACATTATTAAAACATTACTTAAAGTTGGGCTTTTTTACGATTTCCTGCATTTGAATAATATGGTGTTTTTAACTAATTTAGGCGTACGGTCTTGTAGTAAAATTAATTACATACCTTCGATAGGAGTATCCATAATAATGTATAACCTTCAAAACACTGTTTTCACAAACATTCTTCAAATGACGTGATACTTTCGTACGTTCGTACTGACTGACGCGTGAACTAGAGCTGTGTCGGGGTGGTTTTACCTGCTTCATAACAATGAAACCGGGAAAGGAAACAGTTTTATTGCTTTGGATTTATTATTCATAAACATTTGTCGTCCCATCGGCATTAAATGGTTGAATTTGAAAAATAAAAATTTTCTATTTTTGTCCACCTACATTTAACAAATCGACCACTGTGCGTCGTCGTCTACGGTATAAGTGAAGTCGCTCAGAAATATCTTTGAGTTGTCCAAAGCGACAACGGCAACTCTCTGGCTATTTCTAAACCAGCAACCGCGTTGATACATCTCACAGTCGAGGACGTAGATGCTGGAGTTTGCGTGCGTCGATTTCTTCGTTGTTGCGTAGTCCGAGAAGGGGCCGTGGATCCCGGGTTTCACCCCGCTCTGTACGTGCAGCTTGCACGTAAGCCGGAGCTGCGGTTGCAGCAACTGTACTGAGCTGCACTTATCTTCCCATAATGATAAATGCAGCGCTTCTCCGTCTGATAATCCTTCTGGGCCGTGAAAAAAATTGTTCCACCCCGTACATGAAAGAGTCCCGGTTGTTAGGCAACAGGCTCTTCCTAGCCCAGGGATTGATTATGAGCAACAGCACGTCGTCGTCTACGGTATAAGGGAAGCCGCTCAGATATATATTTGAGTTGTCCAAAGTGACAACGGCAACTCTCTGGCTATTTCTAAACTATTTATAGAACGCATAAATTTAATTAAAATTTGTTGCAAAAAGTAAACTCACCGGACTGGGCATCGATCCGGATTTATTTTGTTTGTCACTAAAATTTTTTTCTGTGTTAGCGACCTAGCTCCTCTTTGCGATATCTTACTAAATTCTGGGTTGTAAATAAAACGTTGGTTGTCCAAAATTATCTATTTCTACTTCAAAAAAAATGGTAAGGCAGTTACAGCCTCGCCCTCTCGCCACGCAAGTTCGTATGAGGCAATGTGATAAAATTTGCGTTGCAAGCCTTCAGGCGTGTTTTCGTCCCATAAGGCAACCATTTTTTTTATGCTCTTCTACGTTGAAACTTGCAGCACTAGTCTTCCGTTAGCTTTTCTGCTTAGGGGATTGTTTTTCTTAATTTCTTAAAAAAAAAGATAATTTACAAGAAAAACTGAACATTTCACTAAAAATTAATATGTATGTTTTAAAGTCTTATTATAATTTATTTTTTTTGTAATTTATACATTTTACGACTCTTTTCTTCTCTTTGCGGTGCTTACAAAAAATTTTTTGCAATCGTCGCAACGAGTGTTGAGTTTCTTATTGATACTATTTGGGCAAAAAGAGGATCTCGCTCTGGGCAGGATTGTTTTCTAACGTTACTCCACAAGCTTCTATAGCATTTTTCTCATATTTGTGAAGCCCATTCCATTAGCATGAACTAATTGATTTTACATATTGGTTTTTGTCATTTTTTGTCTTAGTTGTAAAAGGTTTACGCTTGTCACTACGATTTTCGTTCCATCATCCAAAATGCAAACTAAATGTAAGAGACAAAATGTCAAATTCTAAAGAAGACATTGATAAATAATATAAATATCAATTTAAAGCCGATAGGGCATATAAAATTTTGTCTAACGTAAAGCACCAAGCGGGGTCCCAAAATGACCCCAGCCGATATTGTATTGAATATAAAATTATAAAGCAACAATGAGAAATTAAAAAGGACAATCTCAAAAAAAAAGTTGAAAAAATTACGAGTATTTACAAAAAACACCCGCTTGGTGCTCTGAGGGTTAACGGTCATTTGAATAATTTTTTTGCAAACTTCACTTTTGTGATTCGCACAAACAAAAATAGGATTTTGCTCATCATAGGGCTGCGTGAAACTAATTAATTGAGCGCACTTATTTTCATAATTCAAGAGCTTCAAAAAAGCTTCAGTAAGGTCAGCACTATCATTTCAAAAGTTATAGGTACTCATATATATTTCAAAAAAGGTTGAACCTCTTGAACCGATAGGTACCGGCTCATTTACTTGTAAAATAGTATCTTTTTGCTGATACCAAAGAAAATCAGCAGGATCCGCCCATCGCCAATTATTGTGGGCCGATTTGGAGAAGTTTGTATGATTTTAACAGTGTCTGTAGCTGCATGCTTGCCTTTATTCCATAAAGTATGTTGTGTGGCGCGAATAAGTTCATTTTCTGAAAATCGTTCACTGAGTTCGTGGGCCAATCTCCATTGTGTTCGATTGCTCGAATCTGAAAACAGTTTTTTTGGTCTGCCGATACTTTTTTTTAATTTGTGGAACCTTGTAAACATTTTTCAACTAACCAGAATTCTTAGCTAGAAATTTTGTTTTGCAGCCATGTGCCGTTTTCCATTTTCTGTTACTTAACAAAAATATTTAGTTTTGTTAATGTACTTACATTAACAAAACTAAATATTTTTCTTTGTTTATTTCGTCCTCATGTTTGCGAAAAATTTGTAAACCGAACCTTTCTCTCAAAAATTCTTGTAAAAATCTTCTATTTGGGGCTGACGATGCCTTCAAAGGTTTTCCACAACCAACGTGCACCAGAAGAAGATTAAACATTTCTTGGTATGTAGTACTACGTGAACCTTTAAGAGAGAAAGAAAGTGCTGCACTCACGGCTGAACAAATGGGAATATAACATTAGTGGAGAAGTATTAAGAAGTAATGCCTTTACAAAGTTATGCGATTTTGGTTAGGTAACTTGAAGTAATTCCTTAACCCTGTTCTCTAAAAATTGAAATATGAAATAAAAAGTTACATTACTTTGACAATCGTTAAAACTTTATGTGGTATCAATATGATGTTACAAGAATTGCGAAACAATCATACTAACCTTCCTGTTTAACGCTCATCTCGGAGAATCGACGATATTTACAACAGGATAAAGAAATTTTTAAAAAGCAAATGATCTAGAATACACACTTTCTAGGTTCTTGCAAACTTCCAACTTTCAACTTATTTCATAGCAAAACTAGTCTTCAATCTTATCAACAAACAGCGGTTTGAGCTTATTTAGACATTGACAAATGTATTATGCTAAATCACCAAAGCCTACTAAAAAATGAAAATTTGGATTTTTGGCCGCGTAGGATACGATTCTGTCCCACTGTGCGCCGTTCTCGATCATGGTGTTCTTGCAGTCTTGACACGTTTGGGACTTATACATACACTCGACCGCAAAATTAATCAGACACTAGGTTTTTTTTTAATATAGCAGCAGATATTTAATTCAATAAAAAATGTAATGAAATATTAAATTATATACCATTATACAAATCCCGTAATGTAAAAATAAAAATTTGACTTTCCTAACAATATATAAAATATTTTTTTTAAATTAAAATATTTTTTTAATAATTTGAGACTGCAAAGCTGCAAAATTACTGGGCAGAATCATGGTTTAATACCGCGTAATTCCTCCTTGAGCTTGTATTACAGCTCACATCTTTGTGACATGTTTTACACCATTGCAGCAAACTCTTCTTGCGCTATCTCGTTCCACTCATGCAATGGCGCTTGCGTCAGCTGAACCACGAGGTTAAATTCGCCGTAGTTGCGCCTATTTCTTTCTCCTAGGTTGTCCCACCCATGCTCTACTGGATTTAGGTCTGGACTTCTGGGTGGCCACCTCAAAACCTGAATACCAACATCCCGAAGGTACAACGTGTGATTCCAGCAATATGCGAATGAGCCTTATTTTGCATTACGACGAAATTTTCCACAACAAATGAGGCAAAAGGCATTACATATTTTGCAAGATATTCCCTTAGGGTAGAAATATGTTGGAGCTGTGATAATAGATGATAGCGGAGAGGTAACAGCGCTGGTAAAAACGAAGCAATGCATTTAAATGGTAGCATGTATGTTGAAGAAGGAACCATCGCTTATATAAGTGCTGTCACAAGCGCTGCAAGCCACGGAATAAAATTTTATGTTTTCTCCGCTCTCATCTATGTAAAATTGCGTAAAGGTAGAAACATGTTGGAGCTGCGATGATAGCAGTGAGCAATTCAGCGCTGATAGCGGCGATTCTATAGCGATTAGACCATCGAAGATGTATGTGTACATTGGAGCTGTGCGCAAAGCGCAATATACTTGCGTCTTGGATTCTCTCGGCGTAGAATCCCGTGTTGTTAGTTTGATTTCGTCAAGTGAGTAATAAAAAGGACGTGGAGGACATGACGTTGTTCGAAAGTAGTGCTGCAGTGAAATATTATTTATTACGGAAAAACAAGAAACACTTTCGAAAATATGGAGTTCATCCAATTAACTGTAGACGACTCAAACAGGGACAGTTTCATACGACGTACAAAGAATTAAGGGAATATCCTGACAGATTTTTCCAATATTTAAGGATGCTGCCTGAGACCTTCGACTACATTCTGCAAATTGTGTCACCACATTTAAGAAAGAACTGGACCAATATACACAGTAGACCTATTCAAGCAGAAGAACGACTTGTCGTGACATTAAGGTTAGTATATTCAAATAAACTAGCAACTCATTAATAAAAAAAATATAGATACAATATTCAAATTAAAAAACAATTAAACATAATTTCCATTCTAATAGGATGGGTGATTATTGTCGTCATAATTAAATGTCTGAAAGGTTGATTCAGCCAAGGGCATCGTATATCTTGTCCTCTGGTTTACCCCGTATGCATAATCTTGAACGAGTTGCTGAACCCTATTTCTAAACAAAAGTTTGTTTTCGGGAGCTATTTTTCTCACATGGGGAAGTAAACTTTCAAAAAATTGTAAATCTTCATCTTCTCGTACTTTTTCTTTGGATTTGGCTGCCTTTTCCAGGCACTGTAATTTTTGCTTTTCAATTGAATTTGTGTGTGGGTGCTTATGGCAAGCAGAGCGACGGTGGTATATTTCGAGAAAGCAATTTGTATCACTTACTACAAAGTTCGAGTTTGAACATTCCCGAAGAAGACAGCTTACCAGGAACACAAATTCACATGCCATATGTTTTAATTGGTGATGAAGCTTATCCTTTGCTAGAGAATCTGCTAAAACCGTATGCTAAAAATTACTTTACTCCAAATGGAGGTTACTGTCTAAAGCTATTGAAACTAATGAAAATACTGCCGATAATATTACCAAAGCCATTTGTGTACTACGCAATACAATATTAGACAGAGAAGGTTTCGAACGACATCTTAGCGAAATTACTACTCTTGCAACCCCAAGAGGCTCTAATATCCGCTGCTCTCATATTGGACGTCCTACAGAAAGTGCCAAAAACATCAGAGACACCTTTAAACAGTTTATTTGTCATAATCGTATAGCTTAGACCGAATAATAACAGCAAATTGCCTTATTATTATGAATGTAAGTGTTATGTAGCCTTTTGTATTTGATTATTTGCAATAGAAAACATTACTACCAACTTACTAGAGGTTTGCACTTCCCTGGCTACAGCATCCCATAATTTATCCAGAATGTACCTGTTATGGTGATCTGGATGGGCTTGGTTCCACAATGGTTTCCGTTTCCACACTGCAGATATTATTTTTTCGTTATTCATAGTGAATATTACGTAAGAAATGTAGTCTATTTTATTTGAGGTTAAAATAAAACATTCACACTTTACAAGCAAGTGCGCGTGGTGCTTGAGCTGTGCAGACTTGATATTTTCATCAACTAGGGTACAGTTTAATCAAAGATTTTTACATGGAGCACAGCAGCGAAAATGTAAAATTTCATTTCTCGCATTTACATCGCTTATAGAATCGATGTTAAAACGCTGATCTGATCGCCAACGTTTTGCTCACTGCGTTCATCACAGCTCCAACATGTTTACACCCTAAGGTACACATAATCTTTGTTACGGGACTCTTGGGCTTCTTCGGATAGCATGCCCACAGGAAGTAATGAATATTTAATTATAATGGGTCCATGCACAAGCACCTTTTATGTACTGTGGGGGTCATAGGGTACCATTTATATGAGTCGACATACAATTTTGCTGTCTGCTGCAAATTTTTTAAATTTGTCTTCTTCGATAACTTTTTCACTTGCTATGACAGTCAAAATGACACAAAATCTTTCCAAAATACTTTTGTTAAAACCAGTAATTTCAGACACTTTTTCAAAATTTTGAAAAAATTTTGTGGCAACATTACCAGTGTTTGACGTTCCCTTTCCCTGTATCATTCGGTCTACTTTTACACCACTTCAAGCCAAAGTCCTTTTTGGATGTTCTTTTTTCTTTCTTGGATTTGTGTCTTTTCTGCAGCACTTGTCTCGAGCAACACTACGTCTGCCACGTTCATCTTCAATGTTTTTTAAGTTTGCGTACCTCTTCCATCGCGGCTTCCGTATATCCACCTACCATCGATGGTATAAGCGCTGCAACCTCACAGTTATCAGCACCACGTTGCTCACTTTTATCATCACAGCTCCCAACATATTTCCACTCTTATGAATCTGTCAGCGTTCATACTATCTCCCAGAAACATTATAAGGGCTGTACGAGCTTCCAAAAAAATGCCTCCACCGCCAAGTTGTACGCTGGGAGAAAAGCAGTATTGGATATATCTCTCACCAGGGCGTCTAAACACGCGTGGACTATTATCAAAGGAATATCTGGTGAAACGGGACTCATCCGTAAAAAGAACGTGTCGCCATTCATTAATTGCCCAGTTAAGTTGAATTCCCGTAAATGCCAAGCGCTCTTTGCGGTATGCTGCAGTCAAAAGAGGGGCAATAGTAGGTGGATGGGATGTCAAATTGTGTTTCCTTAACCTTCTTAATACACTATCCGAGGAAATAACCCTACAATAAACATCGGCAATTCTTCTATTCAGAGCTGTAGCAGTGAGTGTCCGTTCTAGGAGAACTTGCATTTGGAGAAACCGATTTTCAGCAGGGTTTGTTGATCGTGGTCTTCCTTGACAAGGTAATCTGGAGTAGGAACAACTTGCTCGGAACGTTTGTATAGCGTCCGACACTGTACTACGAGGTATACTTATTACTTAGGCTTTTAGCGATATAACGGATGCTGCGTCCATTATTGTGAAGAGCAACAGCTTGAGCAGATTCTTCGGAGTCATTTTTTTTTCTTTAACAAATTACGTTTGTCAACTTCCACTGTCAAACCAAAGAACACGCATCAGTAACAACTAATAAAGGAACCACATGAAACAGATTAAATGAAGGTTCCTAAAAAATTGCTAAAAATAGGGTCCGAATTTCCAATGGATCTCAACAGCTGATCAATATTTTCCGATCCATATTTTGGAAGCATCGGGGCTTCATCCATAAGAAAAATATCTATTTCTGCTAATTTTATGGCTTTCGATGATCCTGGTTTAATACTCGAGACTGAGCATGATGTTAGTGGTACTTTCAATCCAAAAGTTCTATGAGAAGTCCGCATTAGGCAGTAATATGAAAGGAATACCTATAAAAGCCATGCATTTCACACTGCATCGTTTTCCAGTGAGCATGTAGTACAGTTTTGTAGATGAAGGTCTTTCCAGTGCCCCCTGGACCATCAATGAAAAAGCATTTTGTTGTTTCAGTATTTGCATCATTTACAGCAGTGATTCGCAAACTTATATGGCTCATCGCCCCTTTTTCAGAAATAAAATTTCTTGACGCTCCCCAACTCCTTCACGCTTTTAACAACAGCAAGGAAAAATGCTAATGTCTAAAAATATCATAATGAAAACGTGACAAAATATTTATTACAAATTACAAAGAAGAATTTAAAAATACATACATCCTTATGCTAATGTGAAGGACTACCAATTTATCAATATTAGGCTCAATTTTTGTTAGTAGCATTCGTAAATCACCGCGATTAGTTATTTGCAAAGTAAAAAGAAATGGTGTAGATGTATAAGTGTGTAAAAAATAAGATGTAAAAGTATATGTACAGAAGAAAATATGTAAATAAATAAAATAAAAAAGAAATTAATTAGGTTTCCTCCGCATCTGGTCCTGGCACCTTGTACTGCCGAACCCCCGTCACGTGTTCGACGTAGATGTCCCGGCTCCACTTGATGGCGTCCGAACACATCAATTTCCGCATTAAGCCAGAGTATTTACAACTAATGCCTAAGCGGTTCATGGTGTGCTCGTTGGCCGGGTCCCATCCCCCGAGGGGTCCGACAGCGAAGCCTTCCAGGAATACTTCAAACCCCTCCTCCTCGAATTGCCTCTTCATGTGATCGTATTTCGTCCTCTTCTCCCTCCTTGCCTCCTCGAATGTCTCGTACTGGTTTTCAAATGTCATGGTGACATCGACGATCGTCACCCTCTTCGCCCCCTCATTTATGACGACAAGGTCAGACCTGAGACCGTCCGTGAATCCTGGGACCGTTTGATTCACCCTCTTTACGGCCCCGGGCGACGGCCTGATGGCGTTGGCCAAGCGATCCAGGATTGCATTGTGGCGGCGCGTGAGTGTGACATTGTGGTGGCCACAATGGTTTAGGACGTGTGACAGGGTTTCGTTCGCGTGGCCACATCGTCTGCACCTCTTGTCGCCGTTCCCGAACCTCTTCGTCCCGTTCAGGGGCACACATTCCAGCCTCGCACGATGGACGAACCTCCAGTCAGCAAAACGGGTGAAGTCTCCGGCGCGCATGAAGTGGTTTGGCGCCGTTGCGACGGATGTTCCGTGGTAAACTTTGCCCTGGTCAGGTTTCGCCAGTCGTCTCCGTTTGTAATAATTCCGGATCGCGCAGCGGAGGGCCTTCTCGGTGTCTCTTGGCTTTAGGGGGCTGTCATTAAGGGTTAACTGGAGCACGCCATTGTCGTCGGTGGCCCATGCGATGTTCATGTCGTCTTAATCCACGTCGTGGCCGCCCACAGGCGAGTCCAGGTGCTACAGATATCGCTGGACTCGTTGGCGAAGTCGCCATGCATGCTCCCGTTAAGGTACTCGGCTACTTCTGACGGCATTGCGGCGCGACGCAGCCTCCATCGTACCACCGACTGCAGGAGTCGCTCGGAGAGCGGTCCCACCGACGGCGATATCAGGAGGCGAAGGCCGTGAACGATCTGGCTAGCGTCGGCCACGGTGTTGATCGGCATCAAGTTCATCCCGCCCGTTTGATGGCTCATATATAGAATTTCCGCCCCCGCTTGTTGGGGCAGATTGAGCCATCTTTTTGCGGCCGCCTTCAACTTATAGTCGAACGCCGTCAGACGTTTTTTGTCGACCGTTGCATTCTTGAGGTGGAAGGAATTGCAGGGCAGAATGAACGTGCTGACGGCGTCGATTTTTTGCCAGAGGGCCAGCAGCGAGGCGTCGATTTTTATTAGGTCGGCGATCATTTTTTCCAGCACTTTCTCCCCGCAGGGTGCTTTATGGTAGCCGGTCGGGACACCCAGATGTTCGTAAAACGTGTTGGAACGGCTTCTCGATGTTTCCCGTCATAATATGCAGGGTGGCACATTTTCGGGCGTTGAAGGTCAACTCTGCCCAGCGGGCCACCGTTGTTGTCACATCGAGAAGCCGTTGCAAGTCTTCCGGCTTCGGCGTAATGAGGGCGACGTCGTCGGCGTATGCAAGAGTGTCAATCTTGGACTCCTGCATCCTGTAGCCGACGTTGAGTGCCCCGATGGCGCGAAGAATCGGCTCAATCGCCAGATTGAAGATTATGGGCGAGAGCGGATATCCTTGTTTGACGCCGGCTTTGATGGGGATGGCCGACGTCGGTCCCGTACTCGTGCGGACGTTGGTGGTCGTGTCTACGTAGAGGTGTCGCACGACCTGGATGGCGTCCTCGTGCAGGCCTGCCCACTTCAGCGCCTCAAAAATAGTGTTGTGCGTTACGGAGCCGAAGACGTTTGTCAGGTCCAACCACGCGACGCAGCACCGTTTGCCGTTGCGATGGGCGTCAGTGATGATTGACTGGAGCACGAAGTTGTGCTCCGCGCACCCGTCCACCGGCATGAAGCCCTTCTGGCTCTCGCTGACGCGTCCGTTGCGAACGGCCCAGTTCCCCAGGCGTTCAGCATGCACGGACGCGTAAGCCTTGGCGATGGTATTTGCCAATTGCTGATGTCGTCGCGGTCCCCCTTTTTGTGAATGAGGATCGTCGAGAAGGTGGTCCACGCCCGCGAAATGTACCGCGAATCCCGTCGGGACCGGGCGCGATGTTACTACACCTCCGTAGACGTCCCCACACCTCTTCCGCGGTGAAGTCGGCGGCGAAGGGGTTGTTGTCGTCGTCGTCGTCGTCTGCGAGGGGCTGATGTTCTGTTTCCTACTTTTTTCAATACATTGAAACGTCTTTCTTGTTTACTGGACTGTGGCCGCTGTGCTGCAGGTTGTGACATGTTTGTGACGACACGTGGTGTACGGTGTAGGTTCCACCGAGGGGTTGGTCAATAGGCCAAAATGGCGTACAACCTAATTCCAATTCTGGCATTAGTAATTCCATTTTGAAAAAATTCCACCAATTCCATTGCAATGCCAATAATTCCATTCTAATGCCAAAAACTCCAGAAATTCCACCCTAATCACAAAAATTCCAAAAAAAAAATCCTTTCAATTCCCCTGTTTCCGTCTCATCCGTTCAACCTCATGAGGACTCGTGTGTAACATCGTTACGTCGACAATGTTATCTGTGATGTTATCGTGGCATTTTTAAAATAAGAAATTGAATTTGTATTGAAATATGTTAGTATAGACTATAGAAACGAAATTGTGATTTATAAATTGCATATTGAACAAGTACAAAAATAAATATACTTCTGTAATAAAATTTAAAAAAATAGAAAACAAACAAAATATCTCGAAAAATATATTACATAATTATTTTTAAATCTATATACTCGGTCCGTGTTAACTCGTTCGCCTTCTTTAGTTAGCAGCCAGATCAAAGAAGTCAAGTGTCGGTGTTCCGACCTGTCACGACCCGTTTGACCGCCATTTTGTAGATTTTTGTGAAATTTTGTGAAGTTGATGAAAAATAGTACTGCAACTTCACATGCGCAATGACGTCGCAAGGTTCGCGTGGTTCATTGTGCATGCGTAATAACTTTCACTTAATAAATTTTTGTTCAATTCCAATGCCAAATAATTCCACCATAATTCCATCAATTCCACTTAATTCCACATTTCAATTCCCCAATTCCAGTGATAGCGTACAACCTAATTCCACAGTGACCAACAACTCGGGTTCCACTTAACTAGGGTTACCAACCTGCATCAGATGAAAAAGAGTACAATTGAAATTTTTATTATTACAATTTCCAAGTATTCATAGAGGTATATACACATATTGTGTATTATTTTATTAACAGGTTTAGCGCCATGGCGGACACCGGTGTCCGCTATATGGTTTTTCACTATGGCCATGGCGGACACCGGTGTCCGCTCTGGTTTCTAAACTTTGTTGATCATTCCTGGCCAAGCGGACGCACTTTTGAGCTATTTAACGTAGTGGTGTGACCGCTGTGGCCCTGCGAAACTGCATCCTGGTTCCAGGTTTTTTATAGCAAAATTATTTAGAAAATAATAATGTCATAATTTTTTTATGTTTAAAGAAATTTATTGAATTGTTACGAGCCAAACTCACAGCTCGTTGCCGGCCTGCTAGTGGAGAAGGGGTGAGTTCCTGCGGGTGCAAAGAGTCAGGTCGCTAGAGGTTCGCAAAGAAGAGAGAGCACACTGTTTTGTGTAGCGACGTCGCCAGGGCGCCACCAGTTTTTATTAAGACACAATTACAACAACAAAAAACCGGAAAAATATTTAACTATTGTAATTGCAAGCTGTTACTTAAAATATTTGATTACAATAAAACCTAAGGTCACTAATTAAAAAGAAAAACAAGTAAGAGTGAGAAATAACTAAATAATTAAGCAAAAGAAAATGAGTAAGATATTAATGATAATGATTTAATGCGACTAACTGTTTACGATAAATACGAGCGATACGAACGAGGTTTACGAAGCGAACAAATTAGTTGGAGTCGTAACGAATAACGATTTGATTAATTATTTCGAGGGCTATGAGATAAACGAAGTAGGCCACACGCTCGGTAGTCCTAACGAACGTACGAAGGTATTACGTAGAGCGGAGCGTCACAGTCTTACCGATTGTTATTACTAGGTTATGTGCGAGTGCTAGTTACACCGAACTTCGAAACGTTTTGCGATACAATAAAGAAAAAGGTAAGGCGACTAATACTTAAACTTAATGAGATGGAATGGAAGTACCATGGGCACCTGCCTCCTTCGATATCCACGACGAGATGTCGAAACACAGCGGCGTCGCAGCGAATTTCCAGTCGATGTCGAGTCGAGGTTTTTGGTGACGGCCTGTCCAACCGATGGTAACTCTCCAGCTGTTCTGGGAGGGCTCACAACTGCCCACGACAGTTGGAATTCATAGAATTCGTTCTCCCACTCAAAACTGGCTCCAATTCTCGATCACGGGAATAACAAGATCAGCGACAAAACAAAAAAGCTGCGGATCGACTGCAGCTTCTCCGATTTTAGCGGGATGGTCTAGTGCTCTTAATCAACAAAAAATCCGACGAAGTTGTAGTGCTCGAACGCACTATTTCTTTTACAGCTCACAAATGCGCTCCAAGCGATAGCACCTTTTAGGGGACCCAACAGATCCGACGAATGCGATTCCAAACGTAACACCAAATAAAAGGGTTGCTAAAACGAACTGCAAAAGAGGAAAGCACTAACCCCCAACACCATTCAACACGGAGTACCAAAGCAAAATGGATTCCCTTCAACCTGCGATGACGTGGCAAGGTAACGAAGCGAGAGTTCACGGAAGTTTGGCCCTCTAGTGGCAAACTTACGAAACGTCGAATTCCGACGAAAATCCCTAATCGATGTAACTAATGAGTGGATGCGATGGTTATTAACAAAAGAAAAAAAAACAAACAAGGCTATCAAGATTCCAGAAATGACGAAGACTCTAGGGGACGCTCCACGGCGTTTGTTCCCACCTAGGTAAGCAAATGAAATTCGCGAACAAAAATTAACAAACAGAACGAAAATCGAATTTCAGAGTGAAGCTCTGGGATGGCGCGATCCATCCAGTTCCTTATAGCAAGAACCAAGCTGAAACGATCCAGAAGACCGATCTACAAACAGCGAGGCTGAAACACTCATCTGAGCCCCTCCAAGCTCAGAATCATCGCGACAGTCTTGCGACTGGGGGAGTCAAAAGCTCGGGACGAACCCTCCACCAAAGTTGTCCTTCATTGCCACCGTGCCCAACCCAACCACCCATGCACGAAATGACGAAACGAAAAAAAAAACGAGTAAACAAAATGTAATCCGATCCGAGAATGCCAATAAAAAACCGAAATAGCTACTGCGAATTTTCAATTCGTAACAGAATAGTATATTGAATATTTTTGTATTTATACAATGTATGATTAGTACAAATTATTTATTGTGGTATAAGTTAAAGCACTCGAGGCAATATCTTGGATTTCCATCGCATTGTTGACAATAGGTAGTAACTTTCTTCACTTTATTCTTTTCGATAATGCCATCCACCTTTTTTTGGTAGCATCCTTTGCAGTATCGACGATTTTCTCGAGCTTTACAGTCTAGTCTGGTAAATTGATGTGTTTTAAGAATTTGATGTCTTGGCTGACGAGTTTGCGCAACATCGCGTTTATCTTCGAATTTCAACAAGTCTTCAGTTACCAATAAGCGAAAATCGTTTATTGGAATGTTGCTTTGTTCAATATCCTTGTAAATGATGTGAGCATTTACCATTGAAGTACCTAATCAAACATACATAAAAGTCGCAACATTTACAAAAAAATTAAATGATTTCTTACCCAACAGTACTTCAATTGCCAGTTTTTTGTACCAGCGGATGGACTTCCGTAAAGCTGAACTGTAGCTTGCCATTTGATCAGAAAGATCAATCGAACTTTTGCCTGAATTATAATGCACGATAGCTGTGGGCTTTTGAATAGATTTTCCTCGGCGTTGAATTTCTACCATTTGGTCTGTATGACATGTGGACAAAACCAAGACATCCCGTTTGTCTCGCCATTTTGACTAGACATATTCCTCTTTCGTTTTCTTGGGAAAATACCTCACCTTTTTTCAGTTTCTTTTTTATTACTTCTGGCGGGTTTCCTTTCCGGTTCGTCCGCAATGTACCTAAGCAATGTGTTTTATGATCTAACAGTATGTGCGCAAGTTGAAGACTTGTGTACCAGTTATCTGTAATACACAGTCTACCGCTACCTAAGAGATCTTTCGCCAACTTGAGCACAATTTGTGTTGAAACGGCCAGTGGATTATCTGTCGTTTTCTCTTTTCCTGCATAAATACTGATGTTCCAGGTGTACCCGTTGTTGCAACAAAGTTTGAAAACTTTTATTCCGTACTTATGTGTTTTCTGTGGATTGTATTGTTTGAACACTAGTCTTCCTTGAAAAGGTACCGTCGTTTCGTCGATACAAAATGTCTTACCGGGTGTGTATACAGTTTGATAATTTTTGGTGAGCATATCGATAAGCGGTTGAATCTTATATAGACGATCTCCTTCAGGACACTGTTCGTTATCGGAGAAGTGTAGCATCTTTAGCAATATTTCAAATCTGTTACGACTCATGACGTTACGAGCAACGTCTGATTTTAGAAGCCATTTCTGAGACCAATAATCGCGAAGGCTGTTCATACGAACCATTCCCATATAAGAAAGCAGACCTATCAAATGTATGATTTCTGCCCGAGTGGTTGGTTCCCAATTGTGCACACGAGATTTGTTTGAAATATTGTTATTACACATAACAAACTGCGTTGCATAAATGTTGGTTTGATCCACAATTGCATCAATTATATAAAAATCAACAAAAGCAAAATAATAGTCAATTGGGTGGTGTCCCATCAATGCGGCCTGCCATTCCTGTTTTATCCCACTTTCAAAATTTTCTTCAAATTGAAGATGATTTCCTACAGGAGGACCCCAGACTGATTGTGTCAAATCATATAGCGTTTGATCAGCATCATTTTCTGTTTCAATCCATTGTAATATCCAACATTTTAAATGTCGTTGTTATATTTGTTGTCTGATTACATTTAGGTACTGAGTACGGGGGAAGGGTCACAGAAACGCAGGTTGCGTTCCTAGAACTTTATTCTAACACTACTTAACCCACACTATCCAACTGTACAATCACCTCTTATATATATTCCTTACGTTAACAATTTTCCCTACTCATTTTATTGACACTATACTACACCTCTACCGGACAAGAAAAAAAAAATTACATTTAAGTAACATTTAGATGTAATTTTTGTCTAAAACTAACCCATTCGCACAATCATTCATTCTGAAACTTGGTTTAAATTAAATCTAAACATGTTATGACCTACGCTAACTATTACTATTAAAAATTTTTCTTTTGATGACTTTACAAGACATGCTACACTACATGCAACGTGAGCCGTGCATAGCGTTAGTCATCTTTATGATATAATTTTGTTCTATTTTTATGCACTGTTACCTGTTTACTATTTTTAATTATTTTCACATTTGGTGTTTCTTCTCCTAAAACTTCGAAAGGACCGTTGTACACAACACTTAATTTATCACCTGTTTCGTTTTGCACTAAAATTAAATCACCTTTCTTATAAACTATGGGATTAGCATTTTTATCGTACTTATCTTTCCGTTTAAGTGTACTTGCAACTAAATTACAATGTGCATCTTGATGTGCTTTCTGTAACCTAAATTTTAATTCTTTAGAATAATCGTCAAAATTATACATTGGCTCGATTTCCTCAACTAAATTGCTAGGAATTTTACATTTTTTCCCGAAAACTAATTCATAAGGAGTGTACTTTGTTTCCGTATGTACTGTAGTATTATAAGAAAAACACCAATAAGATAGCCATGTACTCCATGATCTCGTTTTATTTTCTGTCATCGTTCTCAAATAAGCTCCTAAAACTTTATGAGAATTTTCAAGTGCCCCTATACTCTGATGATGGTAAGATGTAGAATGCAACTGCTTAATATGCAATAGTTTACAAATTTCAGACATTGTTGATGAAATAAATTCCGTACCCCGATCTGAAGCAATTTCTTTCGGAATTCCGAACCGTAAAATAAAGTTTTCTACAAAATTTTTAGCTACTGTTATCGTGTCTTTGGTTTTTAATGGATACGCTTCTACAAATTTAGTTAAATCGCATTGCAGTGTGAGTATATAGTTAAAACCATATAAATCTTTTTCTATGGGGCCTACGATATCCAAATAGATTTTCTCAAACGAAGAAGATGGTGTAGATGTAATTACCATTGGTTCTTTTATATGTTTACTAAATTTCTGTTTTTGACAACTATCACATTTTTTTACAAAATTCGTAACGTCTCTACTTAATCCTGGCCAAAAGTAATATTTTTTAATATTATTTAGCATTCTGTTAATTCCTGCATGACCACTAGTTGGTAGTAAGTGGAAATCATTTAAAATTACTGTTTGTTCATCTTTATTAAATACACGTTGAGCTCCTGACACAACATAAATCCTTGGAAAAGGAAGGTTGAACTTATTTGTATTTTGGGTACCCTGTGAGCTCATTTCATTATTACATATCCTAGCTAGGTCTCTTATAATATGCGCATTATCATTATTTTTTAAAACTGTCAACTCTGTAATATCAAATTTTTTACAAATTAACGCTAAATCTCTCGACAACTCGTCTCGCGCTGATGCCGATCGGGATTTTAGGTTTGTGTAAATTGTTGACACAGCAGGAATATAGGTAAAATTTCCAATCTTTTCTTTGTGATATTTCTCAAAACTTTTGGAAATTGCCTTAGGATTAACTACCAATTCAATACAATCTTTGGGTTTTTTGAGTATTTCTACAATATTCGGGTGATCAGTCCGTATGTTTGCAGTAATCTCTGAATTGTCATATTTCTGGTCACTGGATTTACATTTTTTTACTTGCGCTCTTGTCATCACAGCAATCAAATTTTCATTCATACTTTTCAATTCATTCGATGTCACACTCACTCGTGATAAAGCATCTGCAGAGACATTATCTGCTCCTTTCACATACTCGACAACAAAATCATACTCTTCCAAACATAATCTAAATTTAGTTAATCTGCTAGAGGGATTGGTAAGATTGAATAAATATACCAGTGGTCTGTGATCAGTTAAAATTTTAAACCGTCTACCATACAGATATGGTCGAAAATGTTTCACTCCCCAGACTATAGCTAATAACTCTTTTTCTATAGTTGAGTAATTCAATTCGGCTTTATTTAGAACTCGACTGGCGTAAGCTACTGGTTTACTATTTTGATTTGATAAAATAGCTCCAACTGCTATCCCAGATGCATCAGTTTGTAAAATAAACTCATTTTTTTCTGAAAAATCTGGATAATCCAATACCGGAGGTTTCGTAAGAGCATTTTTAAGATTTAGAAAAGCTTGTTGACAAGATTTAGACCATTCAAATGTTACATTTTTCTTACAAAGTTGATTTAAGGGTGCTGCCCTTTCAGCAAATTTTGGTATGTACTTTCTGTAGTAATTAGCAAATGCCACGAATCGTCTTACTTCATCAACTGTTGTCGGAATAGGATATTCATTTAATATTTTAGTTTTACTAGGATCAGGTAAAATACCATTCGATGTAATAATATGTCCCAAATAAAGAATCTCTTTCTTCAAAAACTCACATTTTACTGGATTAAGTTTCAAGTTTACTTTCCTAAGCCTGTTAAATACTTTAATTAAATTAGAATTGTGATCTTGTAGACTTCTTCCAAATACAATTAAATCATCTAGGTAGACAAAACATTTTTCATAATTTAAAACAGACATTGCTATTGTCATTAGTCGTGAAAAAGCTCTGGGACTTGTTTTTAAACCCATCGGCAACCTTTTCATTTGAAACTGCCCCTGGTTTGTAGTAAAAGCTGTATAAGGTCGACTTTGTTGTTCTAATTCTACCTGATAGTATCCCTGACTCAGATCTAAATGAAAAAAATATATCGCTCCCGATAATGAATCTAAAATATCTGTTATATTCGGTAAGGGAAATTTATCGTCCTCAATTTTTTGATTAAGTAACCTATAATCGATAACTACTCTCCATTTCTTTTCCCCATTTTTATCATTTTTCTTTGGAACTAGAAGAAGTGGTGACGAATATTCGCTTTTAGATTCTTCTATTATATCATCTTTTAACATGTTACGTATTTGTTTTTCGATTTCTAGTTTTTGTGTTTGTGGAATCCTATAGGGTTTGACATAAATAGAACTTGTATTATCCTTCAGTTTAATGGATTGTTTATATAAATTAGTAGTCGATAATTTATCTTCTGGTAAATGAAATATATCAGCGTATTTAGCACAAATATTTTCAATTGTTTTCTGTTCTTGTGGATTTAACGACTTTAAGTTTAACAAATTTAATAAATTTTCTACTCTATCAGCCAGAACTGTATTTCTCTCAAATTTACATATGTTATATTCACATAATCTTTGCAACTCAGGTACACAGTTTTTCAAACATACTTCAGTTTCTCTTGTATTGAGAATTTTGACCGGAATTTTACCATTTTTTGGTCTAACAATACTGTTGGCAATAAAGACTTCAGAACATAATTCTTTTGACACAATAACACAATCTTCTTTAATTTTTGTCGATAACCAAAAAACAAACTCACATCGCGGTGGAATTGCAATAATATCATCATTATCAGAACGTAACGGTATTATAGTTTCTTTATTAAAATGTGACAGAAGTAAAGTATCCTTTTCAAAATCAATAACTCCTCTAAACTTTTTCAGAAAATTTTTACCTATAATGCCATTTGTTGAACACGATAAATTTTTAAATACGTAAAATTTTTGAACAAAATATTTTCCATTATATTTCA